GCAGGGGCGAGTGGTTGGATCTTCCTCCTTCTGGGGCGGAGGTTCGGTGGTCTGGCTCCGGCTACGTGAAAGGGGTGTGGCTCCTCCTCATACAGGGTCAGCTGCCCCGCCTCATGGGGTACCAAGGGTTTTGTCATCCCTGGGTGGAATGACATGGGCCGGTGGTGGTTTAGGACTTGGGTTCTCTTCGATCTGGACATGTTACGCATTACGTTTCTTCCCCGAGGTTCTCAGGGGCTAGGCTGTGCCTATCGCCCCTTTTCTGTTGGCAGTGCACTCCGCAATGTGAGTGCCCTGGTGCGCTGCCGTCGGTCATCAGGCTAGATGGGTTTCTAGGTTTGTAGTGGCCATAACTAAATGACTAAATACATAACTGGCAAAATGAATATATAAAACATAAACACTTCCAGTTCGCCTTTTGGGTTTGGCCAAATGTGGCCTGGTTTTCTCGTAGAGTGGGGTGCGCTTGCTGGAGGTCGGTCTTGGCCTCTGCTGATCTAGCGCTGCAAGAAGTGGTGGAACAGGCCATGGCTGGTTGTGGTGGGGTCCCCCGCTGATTTTAGGTGTAAAACAGCGGGGTTGTGGCGGGGGTATGTCCTTGCCAATTGAGTTTGAGGTTACGTTTAAGTATATGGAATGAGATGAACAAGTTTTTTAAGGTCTCAAACCTCCCCTGCTTCAAAGGTTAAACTTTAGGTTGCCTGAGGTCTCATGCCCATCGAGAGTGGGTAAAGTCGGCTGATGGCAGGCATTGGAAATATATGATTTTTATGACGAGGGGGGAGGTGAGAGAGAGTGGTGATTAGGAACCACTCTATGTTTATTGGCAAGGACGGTTGGGTCACTGTATAACACTATGGGTGGAGTTATATATGTATATATGTTAATTTATGCTTATTTATGTCTAACGTTTTGGTTACAGAAAAGAAGAGATTTAATAAATAAAATTATGGATGTGTTATGCAGTAATTTAGTTTGTGATAATAAATGCTGTGGCCTGTTTCATCCATACTAAGTGGTCTGTCGTTATTGGGGGGGTTGAATGGGGTTGGATTTTGTTCTAGGCTGCATCACGATTCCCCACTACGTACATACAAGGTAAACTAGAAAAATGGTCAGAATTGTGGCAACTGACATTTAATGTGGATAAGTGCAAGATAATGCATCTTGGACGTAAAAACCCAAGGGCAGAGTACAGAATATTTGATAGAGTTCTAACCTCAACATATGAGGAAAGGGATTTAGGGGTGATTATTTCTGATGACCTAAAGGTAGGCAGACAATGTAATAGAGCAGCAGGAAATGCTAGCAGAATGCTTGGTTGTATAGGGAGAGGTATTAGCAGTAGAAAGAGGAAGTGCTCATGCCATTGTACAGAACACTGGTGAGACCTCACTTGGAGTATTGTACACAGTACTGGAGACCGTATCTTCAGAAGGATAATGATACCTTAGAGAGGGTTCAGAGAAGGGCTACTAAACTGGTTCATGGATTGCGGGATAAAACTTACCAGGAAAGGTTAAAGGATCTTAACATGTATGGCTTGGAGGAAAGACGAGACAGGGGGGATATGATAGAAACATTTAAATATATAAAGGGAATCAACACAGTAAAGGAGGAGACTATATTTAAAAGAAGAAAAACTACCACAACAAGAGGACATGGTCTTAAATTAGAGGGACAAAGGTTTAAAAATAATATCAGGAAGTATTACTTTACTGAGAGGGTAGTGGATGCATGGAATAGCCTTCCAGCTGAAGTGATAGAGGTGAACACAATAAAGGAGTTTAAGCATGCGTGGGATAGGCATAAGGCCATCCTAACTACAAGATAAGGCCAGGGACAAATTAAAGTATTTAGAAAACTGGGCAGACTAGATGGGCCGAATGGTTCTTATCTGCCGTCACATTCTATGTTTCTATGTGTTTTTGTAATAAATGTCTTTGGTATTACAAGATTGGTATTCCTTTTGCCCACTTATTTACAGGCCTACCACACACGGCAGTATTGGCACACCTCAACCATGTTTTGCTTAGTGTGGTAATGTACTTATTTGCTATTTCATACTATTACTGAAATGGCCCCGAACACAAATTGGAAGGCTGTGCCTGAAGTTGTGGGAGGGGCGATGTGCCTTTAAAAAGGACTCCCCCTCTTGCCTACTCACCTAATTGGTTCCAGACGTACTTCTGGCCCACCCTCCTCTCCCTCTATTGATTCTATCTAAGGTAGGCCCACTTATTTACAGGCCTACCACACACACGTCGGTATCGGCACACCTCAACCGACTTTTGCTTATTATGGTAGCCATGTGCATGGGGAAAATATTGGGCTCCATCCCGCATTCCGAAATTCGTGACTTCGGCAATTCGACACTTCGGAACTTAGACACTTCGCCACTATACCGCGAGTAGGAGCATGTCTAGTACTCAGTGAGCAGCCCCCTAATGTTCTCCCCCTTGGCCCCCACCCCTGAGCAGTGGGTGGGGGCCCTAAACTAGAATAAGGGGGGAAACAACCCAATGTCCTCCACCCCTTAACGGTGGGTGGGGACCCTGAACTAGAATAAGGGGGGGACCTAATGTCCCCTCCCCCCTGGCCCCTACCCCTGAGCAGTGGGTGGGGCCCTAAATACTAATAAGTTTAAGAAAACCTAAATTGGAATAAGGGGGGGGGACCTAATGTCCTCCCCCCTGGCCTCCACCCCTGAGCGGCAGGTTGGGGCCCTAAATAAAAATGTTACCCCCCAGGTTACCCCCCCTCCCAGGTGACCAGGGGTCCCCAAACCCCTAGTCACACCCCAGCCCCCCTCCCCAAAAAAATTAACCGCTACCTACCCCCTCACCCTAAAAATAATGAGGGGGGGACCTTTAACTAAGTACCTGTAAAAAAATAAATAAAATTACCATTTGATGTTTTCTTTCTTCTAAAATCATCTTTTTTCAGCCCCAAAAAAGGCCAAATAAAAAAAAATCCATAATAACCGAAGCACTTGTAAAAAATTGTATACAGTGTAACATTCTTCATTCTTCCACTGGGAAATTATATTAGTTCTTAGGCAATACTGTGCTTCGGAACTTCGGCAACTTCAGCACTTTGGAAATTCAGTAATTTCGGAACTTCAGGACTTACACCATTCGGCAATTCGGAAATTTGATCTATTCGGACATTCGGAAGTACTCGAATGTCCGAATTGCGTGAAATTCATCAGAATTCACATTCGGACCGAAATGAATTGCACATGTCTAGTGCCCATTGAACATTGGAGCCCCTGGTGCTTTGCTTCATGTAAGCATTGATTGATCTCAAGCCTCCACTAAGTGTGGTGAAGACAATAGGTGACGTACCACAGGCTCTGACTGACCCATTATTCAAACCTCTAGCAGGAGCTTCCATGGTGGTAGCACAGAAAGTGTTGGTGGCTGGTACTTCAGCAAGGAGAATGTGTGAACTCCAGGCTTGGTCCTGTGAATCCCCATTCACTAATTTTAAACAGGTTATGGTTGTCTTCCATTTAACACCTGAGATCCTGCCTAGGGTGAATGTTTATCAAGGTTGTTATGGATTTCTTACACTCCAGCTGTGTAAATCCATGCAGTGTCTCCCAAACTCTGAGTAAATACGAAGGTGTAGTGAAATATTGTTGGGGATAAAATCAGACCGGGCCCTTTGAGGATTATGGATATTTGCCAACTCATTCAGAGCTCTGGAAATTGGAAATGAATAGCAGAGACATGTTCAATAACCAATTCAAATTGTATTCATCCGTCCGTTATATTAATACCCCGTTTTCATAGCAGGACGGGAGGGGGAAAAATGAGCATATGGGCGTGACAATGACATTGTTTTTCACAGGTTATGAGCAGCTGTTTCTTATTATAATTCTACGTTATATAACGCATGCATATTTGATCAAAACAAGATATTTACAAATACCAAAATCTTGGACAATTAACAAGAACATTTCGAAATCAGTATGGTCATTCTCGTAAATGATATTAGATAAATTCTTCCCAGAATCGAAGATACAATTCCAAATTTATTCTTGGTTCACATTAACCCTTATATGAACAGCTAGAATATTAAGCAAAATGGATATTAGTATCTACAAATATAGCACCCAATCCCCCAAGCATGAGCCAAGACTTCAAGAAGGGGTAAAACAAATCTGTTTATTGGTGGCTACAGCTCAGCCTTTTATGCAGGTCTTCCAACAAGGGTTACTCCCACAGGGACCTTGTGGAAGACTGTGACAAGAAATACAGAGACCAATCAGGTTACAGTCAAATATAACACACTCACACATGAACATGAAAATCCATCCTCTATATCCTGGAGATAATTGGGTTAAGTGTCCTGAGCAAACTCAATTATCTCCAGGTAGAGACAATATTTCTATCTTTCAACAATAACAAAAATGTATTAAAATGTATAACTTTAGTTTTCCCGAACGTAACCCCCTCGTTCGACATATCCCCAGATAGCTTGGGTCTGAGCACTCAATATACACCCTGTTGCAAATTATTATGCTAAATATATTTTTCTCATTTACCTAAATAATTGATGTAAATAACAGTCAGCATAATTCTCATGTTATCAATAGTGATGCACCGAACAGTTCCTGGCGAACAGTTCCCGGCGAACATAGCGTGTTCGCGTTCCGCCGCGGATGGCGAACACATGCGTGGTTCGATCTGCCCCCTATTCGTCATCATTGAGTAAACTTTGACCCTGTACCTCACAGTCAGCAGACACATTCCAGCCAATTAGCAGCACACCCTCCCTAGCAGACCCTCCCACCTACTGGACAGCATCCATTTTAGATTCATTCTCAAGCTGCATGCTTAGTGAGAGGAGGGAAAGTGTAGCTGCTGTTGATTAGATAGGGAAATGAATAGCTAGGTTAGGGTATACAGTGTCCACTACAGTCCTGAAGGACTCATCTGATCTCTGCTGTAAGGACAGCACCCCAAAAAGCCCTTTTTAGGGCTAGAACATCAGTCTGCTTTTTTTTTTGTGTAATGTAATTGCAGTTAGTTGTCTGCCACTGCTGCCAGCTTCTGTGTCAGGCTCACAGTGGATACTGTGCCTATTTGCCCAGTCAGTGCCACCACTCATATCTGGTGTAACAATAGCTTGCATTTAAAAACAAAAAACTTTTTTCACTGTTATAGATTGAATGGCAGTCAGTGTCCTTAAAGCGGGTGTGTCAGGCTCACAGTGGATACTGTGCACAGTGCCACCACTCACTCACTGGTGTCACAATAGCTTGCATTTAAAAACAAAAAACTTTTTTCACTGTTATAGATTGAATATAAAAGTGGCCTCTTTGAGAGAAATATTTCCCACAATCAGAACAAAAATAAGGTTTCTCTCCTGTATGGCTCCTCAAATTATGCTCCTCCTGAAGGATGCTCCTGTATGGCTCCTCAAATGATGCAATGTGGCTTAGTAGAGAAGTAAAACAAGAGATTAAAAATAAGAAAAGGGCATTTAAAGCATTTAAATCAGACAAATCAAAGGCATCCTATTTAAGATATAAGGAAGCCAATAACACTTGCAAAAAGGCAATTAAAGTGGCTAAACTAGAAAATGAGAAATTGATAGCTAAAGAATGCAAAACCAACCCCAAAAATTTTTTCAAGTACATCAATTCTAAAAAAACAAAAAATGAAAGTGTAGGTACACTTGAAACAGAGTTGGGTTTATTAGCTAATGAAGACCAGGAAAAAGCAGAAATTTTAAATAACTATTTTCTTCAGTATATATTAATGAGGATCCTATGGTAAGAGATATGCAAATGTTTGCTGCAAAAAACTTGCAAATAACTTGTGACTGGATAACTCGAGACAAGGTGCTACAGCTATTAAAGAAAATTAATGTAAATAAAGCTCCAGGGCCTGACTGTATTCACCCACGAGTACTTAAGGAGCTAAGTGGGGAAATAAGTGAACCTCTGTATTTAATTTTTCAAGATTCTTTTGTTTCAGGTGTTGTACCGGAGGATTGGAGGAAGGCAGATGTTGTTCCTATATTTAAAAAGGGTTCAAAATCCTTGCCTGGAAATTATAGACCTGTGAGCTTAACTTCTGTAACTGGGAAAATATTTGAAGGGCTATTAAGGGATAATATTCAGGAATTCATTGGGAAGAACTTTGTTATTAGCAATAATCAGCATGTTTTATGAAACATAGGTCATGTCAAACTAACCTAATTGCATTCTACGAAGAAGTAAGTAGAAGTATAGATCAGGGGGTTGCAGTGGATGTGATCTACTTGGATTTTGCCAAGGCATTTGATATGGTTCCTCACAATAGGTTAGTCTTCAAACTAAAAGAAATTGGTCTAGATGAATATTCTTGTTCTTGGGTAGAACATTGGCTTAAGGATAGAGTACAGCGAGTTGTAATTAATGGTAAATTTTCAGGCTGGACAAAAGTGGTAAGTGGTGTCCCTCGGGGTTCTGTTTTGGGACCACTTCTATTTAACATATTTATAAATGATCTTGAAATAGGCATTGAAAGCCATGTATCAGTGTTTGCAGATGACACAAAACTTTGTAAAGTAATAAAATGTGAGCAGGATATTGCTTTGCTGCAGAGAGATTTGGATAGATTGGGAGACTGGGCACTAAAATGGCAGATGAAATTTAACATAGAGAAATGCAAAGTTATGCACTTCGGGGTTAAGAATGCACAAACAACTTACACACTAAATGGTAGTGAATTAGGGATAACCACACACGAGAAGGATTTGGGAATTGTTATAGACAACAAATTAGGCAGCAATATGCAATGTCAATCTGCAGTTACTAAGGCCAGTAAGGTTTTGTCATGTATAAATAGGGGCATAAATTCTCGGGATGAAAATATAATTTTGCCTCTTTATAAATCGCTGGTAAGACCACACCTTGAATATGCTGTGCAATTTTGGGCGCCTGTTCTAAAGAAGGATATCATGGCACTGGAGAGGGTCCAGAGACGAGCTACAGAATTGATAAAAGGAATGGAGCATTTTAGTTATGAAGAAAGGTTACAAAAATTAAATCTGTTTCGTTTGGAAAAACGGCGCCTGAGAGGGGATATGATAACTTTATACAAATATATTCGGGGCCAGTACAAACCTTTATCTGGAAATCAATTCATAAACAGGGTTATACATAGGACACGAGGTCACACATGTAGGCTGGAAGAAAGGAGATTTCATCTAAAGCAAAGAAAAGGTTTTTTTTTACAGTAAGAACAATAAAGATATGGAATTCTCTGCCTGAAGAGGTGGTTTTGTCAGAGTCCATACAGATGTTTAAACTGAAATTGGATAAATACTTACAAAAACATAACATACAGGGATATAATTTCTAATTAGTGGGGTAATACTTGATTGATCCAAGGAGACATCTGACTGCTATTTTGGGGTCAAGAAGGAATTTTTTCCTAGTTTGTGGCAAAATTGGAAGTGCTTCAGATCAGGTTTTTTGCCTTCTTTTGGATCAACAGCAACAACATTTCTGAGGAAGGCTGAACTTGATGGACGCAAGTCTCTTTTCAGCTATGTAACTATGTAACTATGTAACTATGCTTAAGATTAGAAGCGGCTGAAAAGCATTTCTCACACTCAGAACAACAATATTTTTTTTTTAACATTCTCTCCACTTTGAACGAAATGACGTTTGGGAAGACATTTTGTATGAGTAGGTTTTTCATGTACGAAACGGGAACATGATTTAGATCCTTGGTAAGTTTTGCGAGATCCAATAGTGTGAATGTAGGGGGAACAGTCAATCCATATCTGCCAAGTGACCCTATGTAGGAGGAACAGTCTCTATTCTGCTCTGTGTCAGTGTGTATCATGGTCTCTGAGGACAGGTGTCAATCCATATCTGCCAAGTGACCCGATGTAGGGGGAACAGTCCCTATTCTGCTCTGTGTCAGTGTGTATCATAGTCTCTGAGGACAGGTGTCAATCCATATCTGCCAAGTGACCCTATGTAGGAGGAACAGTCTCTATTCTGCTCTGTGTCAGTGTGTATCATGATCTCTGAAGACAGGTGTCAATTCATATATGCCAAGTGACCCTATGTAGTAGAACAGTCTCTATTCTGCTCTGTGTCAGTGTGTATCATGGTCTCTGAGGACAGGTGTCAATCCATATCTGCCAAGTGACCCTATGTAGGAGAACAGTCTCTATTCTGCTCTGTGTCAGTGTGTATCATGATCTCTGAGGACGGGTGTCAATCCATATCTGCCAAGTGACCCTATGTAGGAGGAACAGTCTCTATTCTGCTCTGTGTCAGTGTGTATCAGGGGCTCTGAGGACAGGTGTCAATCCATATCTGCCATTGACCCTATGTAGGAAGAACAGTCCCTATTCTGCTCTGTGTCAGTGTGTATCATGGTCTCTGAGGACTGGTGTCAATCCATATCTGCCAAGTGACCCTATGTAGGGGGAACAGTCCCTATTCTGCTCTGTGTCAGTGTGTATCAGGGTCTCTGAGGACAGGTGTCAATCCATATGTCAAGGTGTCAATATGTCATATGTCAATCCATATCCATTGTGATTTAGGAATGTTAGGTGATTTATGCCCTTTATGGATTAAGAGCAGACTCTGCATCAACTGTGTAATTTTCCATGGGTGTTTTGCCATGGATCCCCCTCCGGCATGCCACAGTCCAGGTGTTAGTCCCCTTGAAACAACTTTTCCATCACTATTGTGGCCAGAAAGAGTCCCTGTGTGTTTTAAAATTCGCCTGCCCATTGAAGTCTATGGCGGTTCGCCCGGTTCGCCAGTTCACGAACATTTGTGGAAGTTCGCGTTCGCCGTTCGCGAACCGAAAAATTTTGTGTTCACGACATCACTAGTTATAAACTATTAAGAGTACAATTCACATTTTATTGAACAAAACTCTTAATGATAACAGTATTTTATTTAACCCCTTAAGGACCAAACTTCTGGAATAAAAGGGAATCATGATATGTCACACATGTCATGTGTCCTTAAGGGGTTAAACATAAAAAAACTTTCAATGCACTGTTCCAAATTATTACGCACAGTATGTTTCAAAACACTTTATAGGTTGCAAAGAACTGAAAATTGGAATTTGTTGTGTTTGCAGCATATTTACTGAAATCAAAAGCTATTTCAATCAAACTTACAACAACATTTTAACTTTTTAAACATTTTAACAGGTCACGTTACATTTTAACACAGGACTAGAGTTGAGCGGACACCTGGATGTTCGGGTTCGGCGGGTTCGGCGGAACTTCGAAAAAAAGTCCAGCTTCGGGGCAGAACTTGACCCCGAACACCAAACCCCATTAAAGTCAATGGGGTCCCAAAGTTTTAGTCCTGGAAAGAGCTAGGTGGCTGCAAAAGGAAGTAAAATGGGGGTAAAAGTAGGACAAGTGTCCTGCAAACAAATGTGGATAAGGAAATCACTTAATATAACATAAAATACATAAAAATTAAAAATAATAATCTTGAACTAGGAGGTGGATGTGGATTAGGAGGTTGAGGAGGCGGTGACCGTGGTGGTGTA